CCCGCGCCAGCGACCGTCGCGCGGAGAAGCCATGGCCCCGCGCCCCTCCTGCCGCGCCTTTTGGAGCCGCCCTCGCGGTTCTCCTGGCCGAACAAACTGGTGGCGCCAAAAAGTCCGGGCGGCTTCGGGCCCGAGGGGCCTTCTGTCTGTGTGACTCTCGCTAATTGTCACACAGGGAGGACGGCGCCCAGCGTCGCTTTTTCCCCCATTGTAGCCCGCTGTGGAGTGGGGCTTGGGATATTTCTAGGTGAGACTGCTAGGACACTTATGTTGCACTGAATGAGTGCTCATGTTTAGGTGAGGAAAAAGGAGGTTTGGGGTACACTTGTGGGTTGTAATCGTTGTGTCTCTTTGGCCTGGGCATTGTCACACATTTAAGATTTAGTAAACGCGTTATGAAGTCTTGAACGTCTGTCTGAGTAATTGCGGGGAAGGGGAAACGGGGGAGCTTCCCCTCTCAGCAGGTGTTAAGGGACTTAGGGAGACAACAGCGAAACGAGGTTGGGAGGTTTCCTAGAAAACAACCCCAGTTTTGAAGTGGGGTAACGCATATTGATTCCCAAGCTGCTAGCCGATATCACTCCTGAGTGATTCTTCCCTCTAGAGAATTAAATACTCACCTTCACAACACAGTTTGTCTTGAGCCCTCCGGGTCGCTGGGCACCTGTCCGTGTCCCTTACCTGGCTTCCTTACTTCAGTTGAGCCCCTTGAAGAGTCTCTCTCATTGCCCTCCTGTGTCTGTACTCCTAGTTTTCAAATTTTGTTATACTTGCAAATTGACACTGAACAAGTTTTAACCTCAGTCATTTCAGAGTAAGTTTGATGTTTTAAGTGAGATGTGAATGGAGTCTCATTCATAAGGGAAGGAGTCTGTGTGAAATGTTTTGTAAATTGAGTGGGTTGAATTTAAAACACTGAATAAAATTAATGTACTAAGGAATCGAAAAGTTTAATACAGATGTTTGACTCCCTGCTTCCTTAATAAAATGACAATGCTTCGGGGTACCTCTGCTTGAGTTCTTTGGTACAGTGGACAGTGGCACTGTGGCTTATCAGTAGCAAGTTGATGGGTTGTATTGCTTCTATTCATTTTTTAAAGCACTAACAAAATCTCTAGGGCCAGGTGACCCACCTACCTCTGTAGATGATTCCCATCTCTCCTCACTGCTAGAAATACAGGAGAGATTTACATGCAGTTTTTCAGTTGAAGAACTTGTAAGTAATTCTCTTTAGTTACCATTAGTATGAGCCTGGAAACCTTTTGCTTGCTCCTTAAAATAAAGTAGTTGTGTGTGGAGGGGTTATGAGAGCCGGTGGTCACACTAATTCCTCTACTTAGTGTGTGTTTTGGGATAACAGAAAACTTTGCATTTATATAGAGGGAATCTAATTTTTGCATGAAGGATTCTAATTCAGATATTCTTGATTTACATTTGACCCCTTCACTTAGTAGGTACGAGATATTGCATAGTTTCTTGGTCTTTTTCCTTTGTTTTCTTTTTCCCCATGGATGGGTATAATACCAACCTCACTAAGTTGATAGGAAAAGTAAATGAAACACCATGTATGTACTGTACAGTGCCTGCCATGTGCACACTCTGTAAATATTCCTACTGATAACCAAACAGTAGCTGTGGCCTTCACTGCTACTATATATGCTTGGTGGTTGGGGTAGAAAATTGTTCTTAAAGGAACTTGCTGAGGTGATCAAAAAATGATGTATCATTGTTGCTTTTTGTTTTGTTTTGTTTTGTTTTGTTTTTTTGGGAAATGGCCTTCCTATGTAATTCAGTCCAGTCTTAAACTTACTATGTAGCCCAGCCTGGCCTTGAACTTGGGATCCTCCCACTTCAGCTTCCTGAGATTACAGGTATGCACCACACACTTGACTGACAAATGCTATATATCTTCATTGTAGTGTTGGCTACAGGGATGTATGTATTTGTCGAAACTCTTCAACTGAACCCTTAAGGACTGTACATTTGATTGCATGTGTATTATATCTCAATAAACTTTAAGTTTTAAAAAACTGAACATCCAGCTATTAAATACATGCCTTTGAGATGCCTAATCTAGTGATTCACTTCCAAAGGCCCTTCTATATAATAGCATATCGTTTTCATAAATTCATACTGTGTCATAGGAAAGTTAGAAGGTGCTTTAAATTTCCCAGTTGGTGTCCAAAGTGGTGGCCCATGGAAAAGAATGTTTGGCTGGTGCCAAAACTATAATGAATTTGGGACTTGCACACAGTATTAGTAGCTTTAAAAATGACATTGAAATGTTTTATTTGATGTAGCGGTGTTTATTTGCATAGTATATCTACCTAGTAATGACAATTACTGAAAAGTCATGGTTAGTTACATCCCTTCACTTGTTTTTAGTAAATTCTGCACTGTTTATAGTTGAGTGAGATACATAAAGTGCTTTTAGCACAGTACATGTAGTAAATTTTGATAGTAAAATTTGAAGTTATGAAAATTGGGATATTCATATTTATCTTTATTTGGAAAGTCAAAAAATAACACTGGATTTTAATGTCAATTCACCATAAAGATGCTGTGAAAAGCTTTGAAGTAAGGGCAAGCCAATTATTAGCAGCAAAATGTTTTAAAATAAAATCCCATTTATCTAAACATAGCAGTTACAAACTTTTCAATGTTAAGTCTTGACACCATAAGCAGAAACTACCATGAAACTACCATGAAACATAGGCAGAAAATACTTCTGAAAAACAGAAATATATCACAAAGACTATATTACCTTGTTTACTCATGGACAAGGTCCTCAGACCCTCCCTCAGGCCTTTTGATTCTTAGTTCTAGCATATTTAGTTCCTTAGTTTCTCAGCCTTTGGCAAATTAGAAGGCTTGCTAGATAGACGATACACTGTAAGTTTTAAGAAATGTTAGCTGGAAATGAGGGGTAAACAAATTATGAAAATAAGACATGAAAAATCAGTTCCAATTTTAAGTAGAAGCAATAATTCGTTAGACTGCTGATTTTTCCCACTTCGTTGGAAATTTCTATCATTTTTTAATTGTTATGGTATACTTTTTATAAGAGGGATAATGTACAATATGTTTTAGAAAATATTGGTTTGTTAAAAGGCAAATGTCAGTTATCTGGAAATTTCCCTTACTGTAGTATATTATTGCATAAATCAGGCAGCTATTGACATTGATGCTTACAATTTGTGATTGGAACTGACTTTTAAAAATTACACTCATTGTTTGAGGAATCAATGCACTAGCCTTGCTAGGGCTGCCTAACAAATACCAGAGGTGGGGAGCTCAAACAACAAACTCATTCCTTCACTGGAGAACAGAAGTTGAAGATCAAGATGCCAGCAGAATTTTTCTGAGACCACGTTTCTTGGCTTGTAGATGGCCATATTCTCTGTGTTCCCTAACATGGCCTTTCTTCTGTGTCCTAAATCTCTTCTTTAAGAGCTTCAGCCCTTTTGGGTTAGGGGCCCACTCATGTGTCCTCACTTTACCTTAATTACCTTTTTAAAGGCTATATTCTCAAAAGACAATCACATTCTAAGATTCTTCATGTGAATTATAGAAATACAATGTCATATATCACACACAGTACAAGTATTTAGTAAAGAGCTATGTTGGTTCTCTCATAATGGCTCCACACTGTAACATATGAAACAGGTCAGATTTTAATTCTTGTTTTGGAAGAACAGTTCAATTTGGATTTTTTTTTTTCTTTTTGGTTTTTTGACTCAGGGTCTCACTATGTAGTTCAGGCTGTTCTTGAACTCACTGTGTACCTCCAGGCTGGCCTCAAAGTTAGAGCAATCCTCCTGCCTCAGCCTCCCAAGTGCTGGGACTACAGGCATGTGCCACCACAGCCAGTGTTCAATTTGGTTTTAAACAGTGTAGTTTGCTGTTACGGTGACACCCCACCCACCTACCCACACATGCTCTTTTTATGTGTGATGCTAATTACAAGTGAAGCAGAGCTAAGGTCATTATCCAAACTGAGTTTAATCTGTGTCGAAGTCCATAACAGTCTTGTCCTTCATTGATAGAAAAAGCTGGTGGTGCAGTGGCCTTCTAATCTTTCTGACTCTTATGTTGATAGAGATAGAAGTTTTGAATGTCTGGAAGGCAACCACTTACCCTTTGATACTTTCATATCTAGTTGTCATTTAAGCATCTAGTTTGACTTTCCAGGAATCTCTGGGGCAAAAAAAAATTTTTTTTTGTTGCATAGTTTCTACATAGTCAAGCCATGAATTTATGGACCCAGTTTTTCTGCACAAGCAACCTTTGTTGGCTCAAATCTAAGACTAGTGATCGCTTATTCAGAGGTACTTAAGCTGCCTACTTTATGGCTTATTCTTCTTACCAGCTTAAAATTCATCTCTGTTCCACATGCCCATGCATCACAATGTGATGTTTTATCTAAGAAAATTTTGAAATCCTCTAAACTTGCGTTGTGTAAAATTGTCTTTTAAATCCATTTATGTGTGTTACTGCCGATTTGTGCTCATTTGCACAGCCTCTGAACAACTGGCAAAGTGGCTAGTGTTGATATTCAGCTGCTGCAGCGTTGCCAGTTACTTTAGGAATTTTTTTTAGGAATTTTTACATTTTATTAGTATAATGTCAGAGTTTGCAGTTATCCATGGTATGT